GGCATGTGTAGAGGAGAAGCTCGGATGCCCCAATAAGGAGGTGCGAGCGATTAGCTTTGGTGGGTATAAGAAGAGATAGAGGAATGCTTAAGAAGTACTGGGGAGAGGCGGTTAGGCAGGACATGGCGCCAGTGTAACTTACCAAGTACATGACCCTTGATAGGAGGGTGTAGAAGTCAATAATTAGGTTAGAAAGTTAGTAGGTAGTCGAGCGTATTTCTGTTACGGACCGAGGTATTAGGGTTAGTATGGTAGTTTTTTGTCTTGGATTGCTAGTATTTCATGTTGTTTTCTTATTTTCTTCTGCTTCGGTCTCTTAGTACCCTGTTGTTACTGCTTGTTGTTGCTACCGCTTCTTTCTATCTATTTTTAACTTTGAGATTGTTGTTACTATCTTTCTAACCTATTTGTTGATGTTACTTTTTTCCACTATTTTTGTTTTGTTTATTAACCCGAGGGTATATTGGAAATAATCTCTCTACCTTCTCAGAGTAGGGTAAGGTCTGCGTAAATATTACTCTCCCTATATCCCATTTGTGAAATTCAACTGATTGTTGTCGTTGTTGTTGTTGTTGTTGTACAATAGAACAAATAGAACTTTTTTTTCACCACCACAAAATGTTATCCAACACACTTGTTTTCAAAAACTAATCCAAACACATAACTTTTCTCAAAGTTATTTTTGATATCTCTTACTTAAGCTAATTTAAAAACTAAATCATTTACAGTTTTTAAACAAGGAGGTGCGAGAGTTTAAGGAAAGGCAGATATAGATCGAAAAAGAATTGGAGAGAGGTGATTAAACAGGACATGGCACATCTTTAGCTTACCGAGGACATGACCTAGATAGCAGAGCATGTAGATCGAGGATTAGAGTAGAAGTTTAATAGGCAGTCGAGCAATTTTTCTCTTTTCTTTGCGAGGATGTGGTTCTAGTTTAGAGCACATTATTTGTTTCCTCTTCTCCTTATTGATATTGTTATTATCATGGGTCGTTTGGTATGCGAGCTAATGTGGGATAAAGTGTGGTAAACTTAATCCCAAACTTAATCTTAGATATCTCATATTATCCAATTTTATCCAATCTATTTTATCCCACCTTTCGGGTGGAATAAATTAGTATATGGATTATAATCCCATGACTATAATCCCCTAATAATTTAGTTCACGTACCAAACGACCCCCTTATTATCCAATTATTATTTTATTCTTCAATTTTACTACTATTATTATTCCTTTGCTTGGGATGATCTTACTATTTTTGCTACTGATACTTTTTTTTATATAGTATATTCATCATAGCGTCTTTACTCTTGAATTTTTTAAACTTTTTTTGAAAATATTTTTTGAGCCGAGGGTCTATCGAAAATAAAATCTCTACCTCACAGAAGGTAGGGATAAGTTTTCATATTTACAGAAAGTAACCAAAGTTTTTTACAAAATATATACAAATTCGATCAAAATCTACAATTTATCTATAACTTAAATACACATTTTTTGTACAGAGTCCGGTCAAAAACTACTTACATACAATTTATATATAACTTGTATACAATTATGTAAGTTATAAATATTTTGTATATCGTTTCACACTCGACATACAAAATATATACAATTTATTTATGTCTTTTTTTTTCGAGTTTCGATATGAAATTTCAACCAAAATCACCTTGAATCTTTACAGTATTCTCTCAAAATTGAGATATAAACTCCAAAGGATATTTCCAATTATTTAGAACAACACTCAATCCAAGCAAAAAATAATTTTGCAAATTTCGATTTTCGAATTCAAAGCTTCTAAACTTTCTAATGGATTAACATGGTTTCCAATTCAATATACTCGCTTCTAATTAATAATATTTTGTTTATTGATTCCAAAAATCTTGAAGAAATTAACGATCTTCCCTTATTCAAAAGTGATAATTCGTTCATTGTTTAACATAGGAAAGAAAAAAAAAGAAAACATAATAGAATTATTTGATGCCAAACTCTTTGTTCTCGTTAAAGGTATGACTGAAGTTGAGGAGAAAGAGGCCAAACATTCTTATGTTAATTTATAATTTTAGTTTTGGGTGGAAGAGGGAGAGAAAGTAAGGAAGATTAGAGTCTAACACATTATTTTGTATAAATTTGATAATTTATATATGGACTTGTAATTAAGTTAAAGCCTCAAGGATAAATAGGATTCAAAATTAGTATGGATAAGTAAAAATCTCTTTTATATATTAGACTTCTTTTTATTATCATGAAGTGCTTGTCATATAGATTCTTGAAAGTAAGAATTTTTTTTTTACTAATAATTTTAAACATTATATTCTATCACTTTACAATAATAATGACCGAGTGAAATTCCACTAATGGGGTGTGGGGAGGGTAGTGTGTTCGCAGACCTTACCCTTACCCCGAAGGGATAGAGGGGCTGTTTCCGAAAAAATTCCGGCTCAAGAGGACAAAAAGAAGATAAAAAGGCAAAAGGAGACAATATCAGTATCACCACAGAAATCATAAGAAAAATAGGAACAACATGAAATCTAGAAGAAAGATGCAAAGCAAAAGCGATAACTAGTAAATAGGTCCGACACTGAAAAGTGAAATAGTAAGACATGACATTGTCACTAGCTACTAGACAAAAACCCAAACTAGTCTAAAAACGGTACGAAGTATGGCAAGACTCAACTACCTCCTAACTTACAACCCTAATACTCGACCTTCACATCTTCCTATCAAGTCCCATGTCCTCGAAAATCTGAAGCCTCGTCATGTCCTGCCTGATCGCCTCTCCCCAATACTTCTTAGGCTGCCCTCTACCTCTTCTCGTGCCCTCCACAACCAGCCGCTCATACCTCCTTACCGGAGCATCTGGGTTTCTTCTGTGTACATGCCCGAACCATCTGATCCTCGCTTCCCCCATCTTGTCATCAATGGGAGCCACGTGCACCTTCTCCCGAATATCATCATTCCTAATCTTGTCCATCCTAGTGTGCCCACACATCCACCTCAACATCCTCATTTCTGCTACTTTCATCTTCTAGATATGTGAGTTCTTAATAGGCCAACACTCAGCCCCATGCATTATGGCCGGTCTAACCACCGCTTTATAGAGCTTACCTTTGAGTATCGGTGACACTCTCTTGTCACACAGGATTCCAGATGTTAACCTCCACTTCATCCATCCTACCCCAATACGATATGTGACATCCTCGTCGATCTCCCCTCCCCCCTAGATAACCGATCCAAGATCCTTGAAGCTGCCTCTACTTGGGATGACCTGTGAATCAAGCCTCACATCCACGCCCACTTACTCCCGGCTCAGCGCTGAACTTACACTCCAGGTATTCCATCTTCGTCCTGCTCAGCTTGAAACCCTTAGACTCAAGAACCTATCTCTAAAACCCCAGCCTCTCGTTAACACCGGTTCGTGACTCATCAATCAGAACTATGTCATCGGCGAATAGCATGCACCATGGCACCTCCACTTGAATATGGTGTGTTAGCGCGTCCATCACCAGGGCGAATAAGAACGGACTGAGCGCAGACCTTGGTGTAACCCCATAACAACGGAAAAATGCTCAGAGTCACCTCCTACTGTCCTTAACCGAGTCTTAGCCCCATCATACATATCCTTTTCGCCATAATGTAGGAAACCGACACACATTTTGCCTCCAAGCATCTCTAGAGAACTTCTCTAGGAACTTTGTCATATGCTTTCTCTAGGTCAATAAACACCATGTGCAGGTCCTTCTTCCTATCTTTGTACTGTTCCACCAACCGCCTAACAAAGTGTATAACTTCTGTAGTAGAACGACTCGGCATGAACCCGAACTGGTTGTCAGATACAGACATCGACATCCTCACCCTTGCTTCAACCACCCTCTCCTACATTTTCATGGTGTGACTCAATAATTTGATACCCCTATAATTGTTAGAACTCTGGATATCACCTTTGTTCTTATACAATGAAACCATCGTACTCCACCTCCACTCATCCAACATCATCTTTGCCTTAACAATTAGTTATTTTTTGAATTTATTCTCTCACTTTGATATGAGAAATTTGAACTTTACAATTAATAGACATTTTATTTACTTCAAAATCAAATTGACCCTCGATACCTTTTTCCACCAAAATTGACATCGATAAGCGAATTAATATGGATTAAAGTTAGTTTAAGCGAATTTTAAAATATGAAAGCAGATTAGTTATTATTTTAATCAAATTATTAATGCTTATCAAGAGATTTATGTTAATTACTTAAGTGATTTGATTGTCTAAATACCTTTTTATAACGTTCGTGCATAGAACTTAAGCTAAAAAATACATGTCATAGCTATTGATTATTGTATTAATAAGTTTAAATTTTACTTATTGATAGCGTAAAAAAGTCTTTATACAATTATGCCACTTATAATGTAAATACAACTAATCGTTGTGATAAATATTAGTAATTGATAACATGATAAAAATAGTAATTAGCCTACTATCACAACTTAAACTATATAAGTGGCATGATTATATATATATATATGTGTGTGTCTTTGATTAAGGCCCTTTCGAGGAGGGTATCTTTTTGGATAATATCAGCCCGGCTCGCATGGACTTCCGATCTTTTATAGTGACAACTTTATCCTGTGGAACGTGTCTCTACCTGCAAAAAAAGATAGATATATAAGTCTTTATACAATCATGTCACTTATAAAGTAATTACAACTAATATTTGTGATAAATATTAATTGTAACACGATAAATACTGTAATTAGCCTACTATCACAACTTAAACTACAATGATAGCATAATAATAATATATACCTAAATCCTGAAAAAACCCTTAAATCCTATTTTATTTTCCTTTATCTCCCCATAATCCAGAAAAGAAAAAAGAAATTCTCCCCATGATCCGACCGTTGGGGTTTCCACGGATGGCCAAAAAAAGTGACCGTTGCAACTCTCAGATATTCCCCATTAGTTTAAATATCTGGATATCTCCATCTATTTCGGACATCAAAACTTATCACAATCTTATTGCGCTCTAACTGCAATTTGCTCCAAGCTCTCTAATTTATTTATTTGCTCACAGATCATTCTGAAAGCTTTCTTTATTTTTCTTATTGCTAGTGTTTTTTCAATTTTACTGTTTCAATTAGTTTCATTTTCCATCAATGGCAGAAACAAAGGAATGCCATGTTATCGTCGAAATCCCAGTAGACGAAGAGCATCAAAATAAACTTGTATGTGCAATTCAACATCACCCATTAATGGAAATCTCAAAAAGCCCAGGTCATCTCTTACTTCTCAAGCTTTGGCAAAGAGAAGAGGATCTCTCTGGCCGCAGAATTGCGGCCAAAGAGACCCGAATGGACAGCATTCGAAGAGAAATATTTCAACTTTGTTGTTTCTTCTTTATATTCCATGCACTTTTCTTTACAATTTTATTCACATCTATTTCAGAAGACAACCAACATAATAATTTCGCGTGCCACAAATGGTGGATCCCATCAGTGGTATCAGTTTGCACATCATTTTTTATAGTGTTTTTGGTACAGTTGAAACTTTACAGGTTTTGGAAAGTGTCGAAACAGTTGCAAAGGGAGAGAGGGGATGGTAGAGCATTGACGAGGTGCATTCAAGAACTGAGAATGAAAGGGGGGAGTTTTGATCTGTCAAAAGAACCACAGATTGGGAAGAAAATGAAGAGCTCTAGTGTGGAGATCAAATGGAAGCCTTTAACTTGGTTATCTCAATATGTAGTAACCATTTGTCTTATTTGTTTCACAGGATTGGTGTTCGCAGCTTCCAGGCTCGTCCTCTGCGCTTAAATCAGCTATTTGGAATCTAGAAAAGTTGCTCTTTGCTCGGGCAGAAATGGTAAAAAATTTTATTCTTTCCATTAACTTTTGGTAAAAGTCACCTACCTTCATATTTCAGCTAATTTTCCTCCAGTTTTATGATTTAGAGACCAAAGCAGATCCCCTATAGTTTCATAGTATGTGTCCTGCTCGCGGATCCAGGATTCAGTCATCGCAGGGGCACTATGACATTCAATATAAATTTATAACCGCTCATAGAGATTGATACGGGGGCCTAGGCTAATATTTGACTATTTCTTGAAGACAATTTTTGCGGAAGTTACCGGGTGCCGGTGTTAAGGTGTGCGTCCGCCTCTGCTACTCATAGCAAATTGTGATATCTATTTCATTCTTACCTTTGTTTGTTTCTGTTTTTTTTTTTCAGGGGGATAGATACCCAGCAAGGATGTAAGATTGAGAAGTCCCATCTGTTACACACAGTCGACTGGCTCGAAAAAGAATCCGAAAGCATTACATGGCAAGAATTGATTGGCCTTCACCAGTAGATTGAGATGGGAGATATTAGGGAAGGTTCCTTAATTCATATTACTACATGAAAGGTGCTAGCAGCGGTCAAAAGAAGAGTTCAGCTGAACGTATGCTAGTGCTTGGAATCTGCAGGAATGAAATGGTACCAGCATTGAGCATGATTGAATATTCATTTTTGGTTGAATTTGACTAAGGATGATCATAATCAAGATGAAGCGTGACCCGGCTGGCAAATCGCAAACATAATCAGAGATATAAATTTTTTGGTCATGTCTTCAGAGAAGAGAACTGTGCTGAGAATCACTTGGCAAATTGGGGGGTGCCAACACAAAGAAATTCTATTTCATTGCCTGCACATGTTAGTTAAAGCCACATTGAGGGAAATGTGCCATTCGGACCAAGAGAGAAGGGGTTTATTCACTGTATAGGACTTGTAAGTTAGATCCCAACTATATAATCTAATGCTAACATTAGCACTCTGTTGTGAGGTAAGGCCTAGTCCCCCTCTCTATGTACTTCATTTCTGCCATACATTTAAAATCCCAACAAAGGAAGGCCACGTATGCTAGGTTCCGCTAGCAACTTGTTCTATTATGAAATTAGGGGCGGCCGTCCAACCAAGTTCATTCGGCTTTTCGAGTCTTCTAAAATGTCTGTTTCATAAATGTGTAAGGAACTTGCTACTTGGGTTTCAAGTATCATGTTACAGATAAACAAATTGACCTCTTCTTCTCTTTACATTAAAAAAAGACTTTCACTGGAACTGGGATAGCATTTAATAATTTGGAAACACTTCCAGTGCTCCGACGTCTCTTTCTTCTTAAATCCTTGAAGAGGAAAAAAAAAGGATTTTTCCTTGCTCTACGCACTCTCAAAGCCAAATATGCGAAACACACCTACATGGAAGAAATAAAATTATCAGCCTTAAAGAAAAGGAAAAAGGTCGGAACTTTCTTAAGCTAGAAAGAGGGCGGGCACACCTTCATCAGCCTGGTACTTGTTTTTGTCATCCCCAGCATAGGCAAGCAAGTTGCATTTCGGATTCCATTCCACACTGTTCATAGCAGCACGACATGGAATCTGGTGAACAGACCGTCCAGTTTGGACATTAGCCTGCGGCAAATAATGGCTAAGTTGCTGAGAAGGTCAAAAGATATGCAGAAGAGACAATAACTAGTTCTCGAGTACATACAATGTCAATAAACAAATCTTCACTAGCAGAGGCAATGTAGTCTCCTGTGTTATTGAAACTTATTGTCCTAACAGGCCACCTGAATAACAAAAATCAGACGCCTGTTGTCAGAAACTCCTGTGTAATAATCAGGACGAATAGCTTACTTGAGGAACTTACTCAAGTTTCGTGAATGTTCGAAGACAGAGCATGTCCTTAATGTCCCAAAGGCTGACCAATGAATCAGCACTTCCAACAGCAAAATATCTGTGTAATATTGACATCAAAAGAAGGTATAATTAGTTTAGAGGAAACTCATGGTCTGAAAATCCGGCGCATGATCCTTCAACAAGAGCCTTATTGACATCATAGTGCGAGCCCCATGCATGCTCCTTCGAAAAAGCCTTTATTGACATCATACTAGACTTGTCTGAGACCTCATTAATTTTCATTTAAACCATAGCACGAAGGCAACACGCAAATTTACTTGCAAAGTATCAGGCACACCTTCCTAGTGGGTCAATTGCAATGCAGTAACAACCAGCTGTGTGAGCCATAAGTGTGTCAACAGGTTGTAGAGTCGGATAAGATAAGACTTCCACAGTTCCTGTATGACAAGCAGGAAAACTTTATTGAGAAGAGTTCATATTGGCAACAAAAGCTTTTTCTTGCAGAATGCCAGCAAAGCAACTGCCATCTCATTAATTTGTACTCACCATTTCCAGTTGTAAGAAAGAACATATCACCACTCATGTTCCATGCAATCTCATTTACCTGATGAGGCAAAAATGTTAAAGAATTGGAACTCTGGGAAACTCACAAAAGTGTAACAATATGGAATACATCATGCCGATTGACCGAGTAGGAGTATGACCCAATGCATCAGGCAACTTCTCTTTGCAACTAATTACTTCAAGAAAAGAAAGGAGGGCTGGTTACATGGTAAAGGAAGCGAGCATGAAACAAACAGAGATGATGAGCTTCAGCAAATTAGAGTTAAAGACTTGTCCTGAGAAGAATAAGCATTTGCCCATGCTTGAAGAGCATCTCTAAATTTAAGAGGAAATAGTTATTTATTCATACCACAAGAACAGCAAGTTAGGAGACAAATAGATGCACCTACATGATTTTTCTACATAAAGTAATTGTCAATACCCCCTTGGAGGGGAAGAGAAGATGAGACCTAAAAAGAAGAAAAATTGATGCTGTGTGACTTCAAGTCTTCTTTTAGAATGTCCAACAGATGCTCCGACTCTTAGTTATACTACAGCAGAGTCAAAACTTGCAGCAACACATTTGAGAAATTCTATTCACTTTGAAACACTTGCAACACAAAGGAAAGGCCAACAGTAAGAGATGGAGATGGACCAAACGCAATAGCCTTTATACCAGCACATCACAAGTCAAGTTATAATAACTTTTGATAACCTACTACATGGGCTTATGAGTAGGCTTAAGCTTAGTTGGGGGAGAGACTACCTCGTAATTAAACTTGCGCTTATGAATAGGCTTAAACTTGCGAACATCCAATATTGTTAGCTCATCATCCTGCACCACATAATTCACTAAATTGATTTTTGTGATACGTAAATAATAGGGAACTCCATAGAATTCACCAATAAAGCTCATCATAAAATATGAATGATAGGAAGTACATGCAATAGAAAGAGATGAAGAGTTATACTTATGTAGCATATCTGTATTCCCAGCACAGTCTTTGTGCTGAGGTTTTTATAATATCACTATACATTTCTAAAAAAAAAA